AGCCCAAGCATTCTCAAACTACTTTGACACTGTGTATACCGTAGAAATGCCCTTCCTGTCAGTCCATACAACTCCTCCGTACACACTAAACAGCGTAACCATTGATGTACTCGATGTCTTTGGTCTGCTAAATAAGCTTGACATAGGCATATCCTCGAGCCCAATGAACTCCATTCCATATTACTAAAAGAATTAGCTAACGTCGTTGCGAACCCTTCAGGTATATTCTTTAATCTATCCATAATCCAAAGTCGTTTAACGAAAGACTAAAAAAACGCCATAGTAAGTTATGTCTTCAAAACAGGTACTAAACATAAACCTGAGAATTACCGATCCGTTAGCGTTGCCAGTGTGTGATTGTTAAAGTTTCAGAAAACGTTATTCGGAAGGGGCTGTTTAAGTATCTCGATAAAAACCGCATCCTCTTGGAAAAGAAGCATGGTTTTAGAATAGTTATTCCTGTCTCTTTAACTTATTAGTGGCTCGTGAAAACTGGTGCGCTCTTATGGGCCAAAAGTTACCTGTAGACGTAGCCTACGTTGACTTCGGTAAGGCTTTCGACAAAGTTCCACACAACCGGCTGTTAAGGAATGTCGGGGTTGAAGGCAATCTCTTAATGTGGATAAAAGACTTCCTAGTTGGGTGCCAACAAAGAGTACAGGTGGACTCCAAGATGTCTGTTTGGGAAACCGTGCTTAGTGGAATGTCTCAGGGTACAGTTTCGAGGGCAGTTTTATTCCTATTGTATGTAAATGACCTTCCTCGCCTCCTATCATCATCGGCCATGCTATATGCTGACGATATCAAGATATGGAGAGCGATACGAAGCAAAGGTGATAGTAGAGAATTCCCAAATGATCTGGAGAAACTTTTTGAATGGTCTCAAACCTGGCAGTTGCCGATAAATACTTCCAAGTGTATTGTGATGCATATCGGTCATCAAGGTACAGATACATACATGATTAATGACACTGAGCTACCTGTTGTCCAGACATACAATGACTTAGGAGTCATCGTTAGCCAAGACTTGAAGACTACTGCACACTGACGTACAATAGCCGCCAAAGGTTTTAGAACTTTATGGTCATTACGTAGGGCCTTTAATCATATCGACGCTGAAAACTTTTGACTTTGCATACAGTGTTCGTGCTTCTCAAACTTGAGTACTGCATATAAGTGGCTAGCCCCTGCGTAAAAGAAGACAGTGAGTTTTTGGAAAGGGTTCAGACAACAGCAACTGAGCTAATCCCCGTTGTCATATCGAAGAACTAGAGGTGCATGAATTATAGTTTTCAACTTGCTTAGGGACAAAATTGCACCTGATACGTTCTCATTTTTCTCGTATTCCGAAACAGAGAATTTATGAGGACACTCCAAAAAGTCACAAGTACAGAACAAATTACATGTCAGCTGACTACCAATATTTCCACAGAATGCTCAACGAGCGGAATTCATTACCTCAACATGTGATTAAATTTCCATCCGTCGACTCTTTCAAAGGAAAGTTGGATCAACTGAGAGACCATGATTGCAATGACTAATACATGCCATCAAGCCTCATGTCCTTTCCAAACTCCTGCCTGAATGTTCCGGTTGTCCACCGCTACTAGATACAGGAACCCATTAAACAAAGCCTTCTTCAATTCCACCAAGAACCGTTTGGACCTAAACTCTTTTCGGCGTAATCCTTGAGTATTGCTTACTTTCAGAAATCTAGTGGCGGAAATTTTGGAGCTTGCGCGTTGTCAGCAGTTTGCTTACTCATGTTTAACCCTTATTCTTCTAATGGAGGGTAAGAGCTCAAGTATGCTCATTTTGAGTTAATTTAGGACTGTTATGGGAATTGCCGGAAATGATTTCTCTCTCATAGCTTCTGACACTCGTCTATGCGATGGTGATTTTGTTATTCTCTCTAGGAACTCTCCTCGATTATTCAAATTGTTAGTAACTCTTTATTATTGACATGTATCAGGGGTCCTGGTAATATCCTAGGGTGCGCTGGATTCCACGGAGATGTTTTAACACTGACCAAGTTGCTAGAAAATAAAGTGAAAGTCAGTCCTATTTTCGTATGAGTAATATTCTGCAAATGTAGACGTTTCGTTATGACCATGGGAAGAACATCTCGACAAAAGCACTAGCTGGCCTCTTGTCTGTAACTCTTTATAACAGACGGTTCTTCCCATTTTATGTAAGCAATGTACTAGTCGGTCTGGATGAAGGCCGTGGTGTGTTATACAGTTATGATCCTGTAGGATCATATGAATCTGAAGGGTACCGCGCCTCTGGCAGTTCCTCGGCAATCTTGCAACCATTTCTGGATAGCACGGTAAGTTTGCTCTGTTAGATTTACTTATTTCTTAAAGGTTGGGAATAAGACCTCGAAATATCACGTGTCACGTTTGGACAAGGAAACGGCGGTTAAACTTACTCATGATATATTTATCAGCGCTGCAGAAAGAGACATACAGTGTGGTGATAGTGTTATCATCTACACAATCACAAAAGATGGGTTAAGTGAAGTCTCTTATCCATTGAGACGCGACTAAAAAACTTTCGGGACTTTGTATTTCATACTTTTGGTATCGTTTGTAAAATAATCGTCCTCTGATTCTTTTCACAAAGCAACCATTGTGTTCTGAGTAGTTCAATTCAAGTCTTATTTCTGCTATCAAGGTTTTATTCGTGATTCGCCGGACAGATATAAACTCGCGCTGCTTGTTGTGACTCTCACCCGTCTTTACATTCCTGACTAGTTTTTCTCGGCATCCCAAAGTTTAACTAAACAAAAGGACATCGCTACCGTGTATTTGTTGTGTACAACAAACCTATTTTTTTAACATTTGGCATGCCAGTTCCCTAAGTTGACAAGTCGTAAACAGTATCAATGAGTGAGCTCCATTACGTCTTGAAGAAATACCCGAAAGTGATCGAAACAAATGCTCGGATTTTAAAGTTCGGTCATTTCGCAAAAGCAAAGTTGTGGTTATTTTCAAAATCCAGTTGAAGATAACGGGCAAGTTCATCCAAAGAAAAGGTTCAGAATATCGAATGCTAGTTTTTTTAACGTCTAACCGCATAATCGTCGTTTGGAATTATTTCTTTTATATCGAACAAAACTATTGTGCGTGATCATCCAAGTAGAAAAATATAAGTTAAAGATACATGCAACATTCATAAACCTAATCCCAGGCAGTTTTGAACATTGATCTTTAAGACAACTTTCCATCAGCGTAAGACCTCAAAATACACTTCTCAGGAACTCAAGTGTAATTTGTGAAAAGAAAAGGATTGTTAGTTACTTAAAGAAGTTTAATAAAGATACTCTATGGCAAGTTTCTGAGAAACATACGCTTATCCTGTCCCTTGCTATAGGTAAGTAATGCTAAGAGAATGCATCAGTACGTTGAACTAAAACCATCCTACAACCTTCGTGTCTTTAAGATTTGGGATATACACGGGCCTGACTTAATAAATGGTAATCATCAGCGACCGGGATTCACATGGCTATCAGTAGCATCTTCCGTGTAATTTTATTAGGATTAAATGTGAGTCCTAATTCGAAGTGAAGCCTAGCAGTTTGATATATTCCTTTAGCCCATTACACTATGTTTGTATCCTCACCCTACTCTGGAATGCAGTTTACTGGCCACAACATATTTAAGTTGCAACCGTAAACTCCACATCACTTACCCCGGTCTATCCAACCAGGTAGTATGACTAGCTTTAAGAGCGAGTGTACTAACCTACACTCACTTATTCAATTCATACAGTCATTAACTAAGTAGCTGATCAGTGTAACTAGCCTTCATATCAGCCAGTCATGTGCAATGTAGAACCTAGCACATGTATTCATCAGTCCAAGTTCCCACACACCATTAACACAGCGGGATAAAACTATCAAGACAAATCCCGTAATAGAAGTAATAACAGTATCATTAGTGATAGGAAAGTTAGGTATAGAAAACGAGGAAAAAGTACAAGACAGTCTACAAACTTAGGGTTCAGAGTATGACAAAGCGTGAATAAGCCTGCATCATTGCGAACGGTTCTGAGTCATGTCATTTAAAGTCCCTAGCCATTGACTGAGAGTACCGCACAAAGCCTATTTCGGTGGTCTACACTGACAAATATTCCTCGTTCTAACTATAAATCGCTCCATGGATGGTTGCTACGTTTTGATTTGACGGCGGCGAGCTTACTCCTACAGTAAATATTCCCCCGTCAAGTTAGTCGGTGATTTAGCACAAGTAATACACGACTGAACCATCTAGGTCGCTAGAGATTCACTACCTCAACTGATTTGCGAACTTGACTTAGTTCTCTGTGTCTAAGCACAGCGCTGATGACCTCAAAATACACCGAACTATATAATTTGTGTATTGAAACAATGAGTGAATCTCCTGGTAGATCAACCACTGAAAAGTCGGATGATGAAAGCGTTATTTCTAGGAAAATATCTAGGACGAAGTTAAATAAAAGTAGACAGCCCTGAAAAACAAATTAGAACTGGTGATTCCGATAAGTGTTCATGTGTGTATGCCGGCGTTACATCCATTCTTATCTACTATTGTAAGCGTCAATTTATTTATTTTAGCACATAGATATTGGTACAAGGAGGCACCAAATACACATGCGTCACACATATCAAATGAGATATGTGTGATACTGCCCGGGTGCCTAAACCGAAGCAGGTGGTTTTCTTAGGAGGCCACACCCGGAGCCTTTGACCTGAAGGTCTGATCCACAAGGCAGTGGAGCAACGTTAGCAGATGCAGTCCCATGGTAGCCGGTGACCAACGATTAGTTCATACGCCATTTGTTCCTTCAGGATACTGGAACCCATGTGCACCATTGGTTTGGGATCCGGTTAAAGCGCCGGACATTCGCTTTTCGCCCTCTCAATTTCGTAAACAACACCCCCGCCATGAGTAGGACTTCCTTAGCAGAGGCTATATACGCGTGATCATGTAAGAGCATTTTGAAAGGGAGAGCGGACTCTCGGCCGTACCAGGGCATTTGGGCGCGTAAGGATCAATAGATTAAGCGCATCTAAAAAACATGTTTGCATACTTGTACAAGTTCGGATCACAGTTGATAAACGAACTAAGACGTCGTCTCTGAGGTCTTAGAATGTTGAAATACTATAACTGTAACGTTTGTTGAAGATCATACGTCCAACTGATTAGTAGTATTGATTTTGCAATACCAATTATTCAACATATTATGCTACTAGTCATTATGTTGAAGAGTCAAGGTCTTTTCGTTTGGTTATCCACGTTTAGTTGGCCCCCTAAGAAAACCACCTGCTTCGGTTTGGGCACCCGGGCGGTATCTCAGCCCACACACTAAAATCATGATGAACTATTTGCTTATGGAAAATATTCCTTTCTCTCTGATTAACATTGAAAGGACTCGTACTATTATTATTTTACCACGTCATTTATTCACCCTCTCTTATTCCTACTTTATGTATCCGTTTCGACCTAGACAGCAGCTCACCTATGGTGAAAATTCAGCTTTATCTAAACGTTCTCGAGTCACTGCCTGGTTGAAAATTGTATGTTACCACCGAATACGAGTACTGAAGCAATTTTTCTGAAACCACGTACACCATTCAAACTGGCTGCCTTTAACGTTCGCACACTTATGCAGGTCGGACAACAGATAGGGCTGTCTTTGGAAAGTCTTAATATTGATGTGTGTTGTCTATCCGAGACCCGTATTCAAGACTCTGGTGAAGTACTACAAGTTCGCTCTCCATCTGTCGCTTCAAAAAGCTTGTTTTATGTGCGTTTATCCGTGGACCCTGTGGCATCTTCGTCTGGTCTTGCTGGCGTCGGTGTCGCACTAAGCGCTAGAGCCCAGGCAGCACTAATCGACTGGATCCCCATTAACAGTCGGTTATGTGCTGTTAGATTAGAAAGTCCCATCAAAGTGAGAAGAAATCGGCGTGAGAAACGATGTCTTTTCGTCGTCTCCGCCTATGCCCCGGCAGATTGCAGCCCGGATGCAATCAACGATGAGTTCTGCCACCAGTTAACTGTTCTTCTCCAGAAAGTGCGCTCGACAGATATTGTAGTACTGGCCGGAGACTTGAATGCTCAGGTCGGGCGTCTAGGCACAGAAGAGAGTCGTTTAGGTGGCCGATGGGGTCTCGTTGGTCGCAGGACAGATAACGGGGAACGTCTACTGCAACTATGCACAGATCACAACCACTAACCTTCGGCACAGTCATCACCGATGTGCCACCTGGCGTCCCCCTTCTCCATCTCAAGCCTGGACTCAGATCGATCACATCGCGATCAGATACCGCTGGCGTGGTTGTGTACAAGACTGCCGCTCCTTTTGGAGTACCTATCTGGAATCTGACCATGCTCTGGTCTGCGCCAATCTTACCTTACTTTTCAGTGGACAACGAAGTGACCGCCACCAAAGGATTGATGTTAGCAAGCTGGCTGCAACTTCTGTTGCTAGTAAGTATCGAAGCGAGCTAGCTTCTAGGCTAGCTACCATTCCACCGAAAAGTATAGATGAGCATTGGTTGCAATTGCATGACGCCACGTCTGTTGTGGGTTCGCGAAACGTTCCGCTTATAAGCACTGGGTTTCTTCTGGTTCCTTACAACTGATTGAAGCCCTTCGGTCTACTCCGGGTGACCGTGAGTTTGACCACAGACGAAGGATGTTACGTAATGAAATCGGGCAAAGCTTGCGTAAGGACCGAGAAGCGTGGTGGTCGGAGCGTGCTAATGAGCTGGAAGCAGCAGCTGCATCTGGTAATTACCAGAAGCTCTTCCAACTCATCCGAGCCACTGGCAGCAAGAAGTCTGGTGTGAGCGAGGATGGCGGAACGCCAATCACTAACATCCATCGACGTCTTGGACGATGGGCAGAATTCTTTGAAGGGCAGTTCAACTGGCCTGCTGCTCCGGCAACATCGGTCAGACTGTCCTGCCCTCCATGGGCGGTGACGACTGATCCACCAAATGAGGCGGAAGTCCGCAAGGAACTCCAACTCTTGAAACGTTACAAATCACCGGGCCCAGATGACTTACCTCCGGCTCTTTTTAAAGATGGTGGTGACTTTCTGACTAAGGGACTGACGACGTTGTTTACAAAGGTCTGGGAACTAGAGAGTGTACCAACGTCATGGAATGAGTCGATAGATGTCCCTATCTTCAAAAAGGGTTCACGTCGTTCCTGTAACAACTATCGGGGGATAAGTCTACTTCCGATTGCGTCCAAGCTATTGGCTTCCGTCATACTTCGTAGGTTGTTCAGAACCCGAGAAGGATTGACTCGCGAGGAACAGGCTGGGTTTCGTTCTGGTCGAGGATGTATTGATCATATCTTCACCCTCCGCCAAGTGTTAGAACACCGCCATACTTACCAAAGGCCAACAATCGTAGTGTTTCCTGATATCAGGGCTGCCTTCGATTCGTTGGACAGATCTGTTCTCTGGGATTGTCTATTGAAGAAGGGTGTGTCTGAGAAGTTTATTAACATCCTAAAAGCCCTATACACAAACACCTCAGGCAGAGTGAGGGCATACAACCACCTTTCTCCACTATTCCATTCAAGCAGTGGAGTTAGGCAGGGTTGCCCAATCTCACCATTCCTCTTCAACTTTGCCATCGATGACATTCTGGAAACAGCTCTGATGGATGTAAGTAATGGTGGTGTGGATCTGTTGCCTGGAGAAAGACTTCTCGACCTTGAGTATGCGGATGATATTGTCTTACTGTGCGAGAATGCCCAAGCCATGCAATCCGCACTTAATCAGTTGGCAATCAATGTCCGTAGGTATGGTATGTGCTTCGCACCTTCGAAGTGCAAAGTACTCCTACAAGACTGGCAGGATTCTAATCCTGTACTCACTCTGAATGGTGAGCAGATAGAAGTGGTCGAGAAGTTCGTGTATCTAGGTAGCTGCATAAGTGCTGGTGGTGGCGTGAGTGATGAGATCAATGCACGTATAGTGAAAGCCAGAGCGGCTTATGCCAATCTGGGCCATCTTTGGCGCCTTCGTGATGTTAGTCTGTCGTTATCAGATATGGCTCAGAATAGAAGCCAATGGCGATCGTGCTGTAACCTCTTACTTTCTTCAAAAAAATTTGTTGTATCTTCCTTAACTGAAAGATTTCTTCTGATAGTACCTTTCCGTTTTCCCCATCATTGTTCTCTCTTTCTTTTTTATAATTCCCCACGTTCATTACTTTTTTTTCTCCTTCTCTTCAAATTATCATTGTTTTGTGTGGCGCATATATATTTGGTGCCCCCCTGTACCAATATTTATGTGTTCAAATAAATAAATAAATAAAGATGCAACTAAACCATCTTAGTCAACAACTGGGAGAATACGTATCATTTCTCATTTAGCCTTGAAGATAAAATAATGTAAGTGAACTAAGTACATTCATGTACACCAATGATAGTACAAATACATAGTCTTTTATACTAAACAGCTCTCCATTTCGTAGGAAGCCGTATAGGTATTGGTGAAGGACAAATTTTTGACTGCTATAGAAAAGCGTGGTGGTTTCCACTGAAAGTACTTATGGGGCTTCAAGTCCTACTTGTTTTTACGCGAGATGGATGCGTTTGCAACTACATAGCCGAAAGGATTTTCCTCGCATACAGCCAGAAACACCATATATAATCTTAGTTATATCGTGATTTTCAACTTGGCTGGATTAATTAATAAGAATGAGGGCAATCCATGCGAATGATTCGAATTAATTTGGATTGAGTATCAGCTGACAAGTAAGGCGGAAGAAGGATTACAGTCACTTCTATACAGTTCGTGAATATGTTTATCCGGTTGTCTCCTGAATCATAATGAACTGATAACAGTTTAGTCGTTTTGACTACATTAAGTATGAATTTAATTCTTAATGAACACAAAATATTGTGGTAACAGTATTTTGTTGTCTGTTCGAAATTGCTATGATGAAGAACATTACCTGAAATCCTTAGTTTAAACCACAACATAGATACAAATAGCTTAAACTATAACACATCTTAATAAACATAGGACCGTTAGCTAATATTAACCCTTCATCCCCCATTCCATGTATATTATTTGGGTTTACCCTATTTTGCATTAAGTGGTCAAGATTACGATGGGTTTCGGGGAACAAGCTTGGATGTTAATAATACTTTGAAGTCATGGTTTATAATCGTTCTTAGTATCAGAAGTGGAAACCGATACTGTACTGACGTAGAAAAAGAGGAGTACGGTTGTTCCCGATAAATATATTTTTCAATCTATTTGTACGTCTTATCTTGTTTACCGTATCAAAGTTTGTGATCTAGATCCAAATGCTGTCAATAAAAATGCTAAATGTACTGATATTTCATTACTTCACACTTTGCTCCTCAAGATTTAATTATGAGTGACTATCATGGAAGCTATGCCGCTTCAGTGTTGTTATACACGTAATTTAAATAATATGAATAATTTCGAATAATTTACCTAACAAGCTGATTACAGAACTCATCACAGTATGCATCATTAATGATCATCCAGGTAGTAATTATCAACTTAACAATCATGGACAGCTCTGCGTTTTTGTTCACTTCGCGGTGGGTTAATAAGAGTGGAAACAGTACAAAAAACACCAAGAATTTATCTAAATGAATTATTGTAAACCGGTTACTAGAAGATCTAAAGTTGTAGTGAAACTAAAACTATTTTGGGTTACTGCTATGTAGGCGAAGGAGGAATAAAAAAATATAAGAATGATATATGTTACAAAAATTGGATTTAAGGTATCGTTTTCTATCGTCAGTTTCAAAGAAACGCTAAATAAGGTAACTTTTACACAAGAAGTAGTTACGACTCAAAAATGCCAAACAGTCAGGAAAAAGGCGTTTGAAGTCAGTCGGGTTGCCTTATCATACATAGTTCATGTGACAATTGTCTAGTTCCCCCTTTGTTTCCAATGGTCATCTGAGGTCGGTCCGTGATGTAAATTACAAAACTGAGTTGTTGAAAACCAGACAGTGGTTATTGACGATATTATCCTCAACTAGTACTATGATATCTGTCATATACTTCCTTTTGAAACCGTTAAATTAGTAGAACTCATCTTTGGTTACCGCCCCTTGGTGATAACAACGATTAAGTACGTCTGTTTTTCGTACACTAAAATAACGTTCTAGTATAGTAACAAATAAATAACCGTTAAAAGGTATCCAGTTAATAAGTGTTTTGCGTGGAATGTAATATCAGTGCCACAGGATCGTAGTATAAACTCACATGAAATGTACTTTCGAGTCAATAGGTGGATGACGCTTTTGTGGTACTCTATTGGAATCTTAAATACGAGTTTCTCATGCAAACTTACAAATAACAAGGGCCTCCAGGGTCTTAGTCAACCCTATAAGTTCGATTGCAAGTGTTGAATAGACGTAGAAAAATAAACAAATATGGAATCTATTTTATTTCATCGTAAGCCATCAGTATAAATTATTAATAGAATATTGGTAATAATAGATTCAGTAGATTAAAAACCACTGATTATACATGAACATTGTCTACAAGCATTCATATCATTTATCCAGTAACATGAAATTTATAAGATAATACATATTATAGTTATGACAGAATTAAGTACTACACTTCTGATTAACCTTGTACATTAGGCAGCACAATTCATTTTCATCGATATGTTTTGCCTTTCGTAAATCAAGTATGAAACCGAAAGGTAGATGTTTGACACGAATGTTTATTATGGATACATCAGAGTGTGATGATTTATAGTCACATGATATATATTTCAAAGGTCTCTTGAATGTTCTACCACTACTTTTAATACCAAAAGCTCCATAGGTATCGATCTCAATAAACTTTTGTAGTGTCGAAGTATTGTTATTCTCAGCGGTTATTAAAATTATGTTGCGAATCATACGACGTGGTAAAAGAATTCCTCCGAGAAACGAGGAGAAAGCTAGAAATGTTTTATATACACAAATAGTGATTTATCTAAAAGGAATTGACATGCATAGTCTTTGAAGTGACATCTGTTTCAGTGACCTAAACAATTTTTAATCTACCCATACAATGACCGGTTAAAGTTCGGGTATTGTTACTGACAATTACAAAAAGTAGTTATTTTTAAATTTCCAGAGATGTTTTCATTTTGGTGTAAGAATATAAAATTGATATGTAACTGAAGTAGATATTCTAAGAACCTTGAAGCTTACTTTCTCTAGAACTAAGCCATCGAGTGCGAATTTAATCCACTGACAATTATTAGAAATTTGATTAGATTCATTATGAAGTGAAACAGAGACTCTTAACCTTTAAATCCTACCGGAGTGGTGTATATATATGAACCTTATAATAGAAAGTCATAAAGCTGCAAGCAACTTATCTATGCTGAAGGTAATACGTACCATAAAAGTAAAATTGATGTCTACATATAAGACATTAGATCCTACAAGCTATAAATATACCTGAGAAATAGATCCTATTGGATCTATTGCGGTAAACATATTAAACAAGTAAGTTTTTACACACAATGAGTCCTCTGAGTACTCCATCTGATAAGGCAACTAAAATATTGTATTGCGTTTAACTTGTAAATAATACTGAAATATTCAGGAAGCAATTACCTTTAACGAGTCAGTTTTTAGTGATATTAAAGAGACTCCGAATATCTTAGTCATGTGTCTTCATATCATTGACCTATCAGTTCGATTCAAGTCGATGTAATTACTGATGTTCCCATACGAACTCCAAAAGCAACAGTAAATTTAGCTGCAGTTAGTTCAATACATATGTGCTACAAATCATATGACCATAACGACCTAACTTGATCATATATTATGTAAAACTATTGAATCACTTGGTAGTAAAATTTGTATTCGTTATTTCGGTCAATTTTATGGATTTTTAAAATTCAATATAATTCTATCAACCAGTAACAAAATAAGTATGATTATGTACTGAGTTTTCACCTACCAATTGCAGTTGTTATCCAAGGATAAAGTCGCTTGGTATCCAAATTCACTTTAAAACTCTCTACCATTTTTTCGTAAAATTTGGGGGAAGTTTCTTTGAAGAGCTGAAAATTGCTACTAGTTGTTTGTATCTGTTGTACATTACATGTAACAAAACTCCAAACAATAGTGTTGATTGCACACAATGCGCCGAAACAACGGAGACGTTTTAGTTGATTTACTGCTTCATATATGTGAATTCTTTTATATTCCGTGAAGAATTCACCATCGAATTTAAACATGTACTAGAACAAAAGGAAAATAAAGATTTTAACCATAACAAAGGTTGTAGATGATAGCCCATTTATACTGACAATTCGCAACTGTTTAAATACCATGAAGAATAATATAAATCATTTTCTTTAGGCAGAAATTAGAGAACATATAGAGGATCGTAGATTTATATATCTAAACAACAACAGTCACAAACATTGTTGTTATACTGACTGACATTTAATAATGCCTTTTACTGTGAAATGCAATTCTACTCCATTGATAAACAGTCAGATACTGTTTTTGAAATAAGGTAGGAAGGTAACCGACTAACATGGATTTATATTATATATTTTGAAGACTCTCTTTAGCTGTTTACTACTTAGAAAGCAATACAAGATACATATTATATGCAAGAAAAAATTAGTCTTGATACACTAGAATAATGGAAAATGACGAGAGAGCATAAAAGCATAAGTCCTAGAAATGACATGAAAGGTAAGTTTTATGTCACGTAATACATCACAGTAAAATGAATCGACTAGATCAGATAAAGACTAGGGAATTATAATTATCATGAGAATAAAAGTTAAATAAGAAATTTGTAACCTGACCACGGTAGAGCAAATTTAATAATTGGGCCTTACTGGATGCATACATCTTTTCATGGAAACTGCTTCGACAAAATGTAATAAGTCCTACGTTAATTTATTAATTATTTCGAGAGACCTTGACACATCAACGTCACGTCCACTGTCAAGCACATAGCCAGCAATCGCACGACTAGAAATGGTATCTTTTGAGTTTACGTTTCTGTTGATTGTACTGAGTGACGAATACAACAACCCTCATTTCTGTTCTCTCAAAGTATGTGGTTCGGCTTGTACACGTAGACTGATAGACACAACTGGATGTTTCATTGGGCGAAAATCTGTATGCATTTGACCGTCTCAACGAGCAATTCGTTTGGTACAAACTTCAGCTTGCCTGACAGATACATCCCTTTTATTATGGCTTTTAGTCGGAAACGAATCAACTCATCTATTTTGCTATGCGGTTTGATATATTCCTTTAGCCCATTACACTATGTTTGTATCCTCACCCTACTCTGGAATGCAGTTTACTGGCCACAACATATTTAAGTTGCAACCGTAAACTCCACATCACTTACCCCGGTCTATCCAACCAGGTAGTATGACTAGCTTTAAGAGCGAGTGTACTAACCTACACTCACTTATTCAATTCATACAGTCATTAACTAAGTAGCTGATCAGTGTAACTAGCCTTCATATCAGCCAGTCATGTGCAATGTAGAACCTAGCACATGTATTCATCAGTCCAAGTTCCCACACACCATTAACACAGCGGGATAAAACTATCAAGACAAATCCCGTAATAGAAGTAATAACAGTATCATTAGTGATAGGAAAGTTAGGTATAGAAAACGAGGAAAAAGTACAAGACAGTCTACAAACTTAGGGTTCAGAGTATGACAAAGCGTGAATAAGCCTGCATCATTGCGAACGGTTCTGAGTCATGTCATTTAAAGTCCCTAGCCATTGACTGAGAGTACCGCACAAAGCCTATTTCGGTGGTCTACACTGACAAACATTCCTCAGTTCAACTGTAAGTCGTCCAGTCGATTTGTAACTGCCGAATATTTTGCTTAGCGCAATAACTGCCGATTTATGATAAGCGTTGTAGTATATTAAATTCTTGTCCCATTTTCTATAGATCCGTAAAAGGAATATACATCTATAAAAGAACCTTTTCATGTATTATGAATGACAATAGAACTAGAAAGAACTTTTGAGAGAACAGAAAAAATACATTCACATATGCAAAAAATGAATTAACAGTTCAATTTATGTTTAACAGTTTATTAAATATAATTGTACAGTTTATTTATCAGAATACAAGTCCTCATAAGTAACTAAATCTCGATTAAGTTCGCTTGATATTCTGTTTGAAGGCTCCTCATTCGAGTTACAGAAAGCTGGTTTTCGAAATGACCGATCTACATTATGAGAAACAGAAAGTTAACTTTAGCACTTCTATAAATGAATTAAAGTTTGGTGTGAAAAACTGTAAATAAGACCACATTTTTCAGTTACACATAGTACTTCGATTTACCTACAATAGTTTGATGGTCTGGGTAGCATCACTAACCACCCTCCAAAGTTGTGTTACTCAAAACTGAGTACATAAATTCCTTACCATATGTCTTAAAAAATCATGAGTACTGATTGTAAATACTTGTTAGTAAAGATGGTGCTGCAATTAATTGACAGATATTTTTGACATAATTATTCTATTCAGTTTTATTTAACATGAATCCAATAATTAAAAACAAAAAGCCTAAATACACAACCAAATGCCATATGATCTTAAGTGAATGTTTTCTGAACTATAGTAATTTACAGGTTTAAATAAACCCATTTTTCATCTATAGATGAACAGTTATGCGGAGAAACAGTAATATGTTAATGAATACGAATGAAAATCATATACCAAGAAGGAACGCGACTTACATGGACTATATTTTGTAGGTGAAAAAGGTTTCGCGTGGAAAGGTCTCCGAGCAAACGATACACGCAAAAGACGATTGTTTACCATTTGGTGATCCAGCTAAAATTCAAGGAAATAGTTACTTCCCTTACCTTCAATGCACTTTGGGCCATTTGATTCGTAGCCATTGTAACGTAGGCATGGCTAAAATATATCGAAGTCAACTTTATAGCGGAATAGAAAAATATGAGCAACATGTAATACATTTGAATCCATATGCCGAAATAAATGACGTAAGTACATTATGTGAAGTTCCCATAAGTACTGTATCATATATAGTATATTTTAATAACACTCGAAAAAAATTTGCATTGTACAAGTCTTGGTAAGAAAATGCAGATGAAAAGACAAGTGTTTGACAGTAGAGATATGAACGAAAGCTGAACAAGATATGATATATATATCTTTAATAATGGAATAAAAAGTAACTATACTGTATTAATTCCAATGCAATAGCAAAAGCCTAGCAAGATATTAAATTGAAACAATGCCCAGAGTCCATTCGTGACAGCGTTCATAAAATCCTCTTTAATTTTGTATAAACTGAATAAATAACACAATCAATGTGACAGCTTTAACAATTAAGAGATTTATTAGTACTTACTAATAACATGTGGGAGTAAATAAAAGGGAACTACAGTCACATCAAAATTTAGAAACATAAACTTGACATCACTCACAGATAACATTGTCCATACAGAAAAATATACAGAAATATAGGCGACAACCCACTTCCAAGCTTTTACTTTAAATTTTTCGAGTAAGAATGTACTTGGGTGAAGATTCCCTCTCACTGATTAAGTCAAATGCCATATTGATCAATCTATATGTAGCTAAGTTACTTGGTGATGGAAGATGTATATCGAGTATGACTATTTACTACTTAGCTCGACGAGCAATGCTTGATAACCCAGAAATAGGTTGGAAGAAAGTTAAGGGAAGCCAAACCCGAACATGGCATCGGTTATTGACCTTAGATATGAGGCATGCTGGCAGATGCAGGCTACTTGGTTGAGCATAGGCACGATAACCACGACCAGTGGTTTGACACTTTGGGTGACATGGTTCAGAATCGTCAATAGTGAACCAGATTCATCGACTCTTCATCATCCTCTTGGTCTTGAATTCCAGTATCCATTCATGAATACCTCTTTACTCTTCCATTTTGAATTATATTCCCAAATGCTTAGTTTTCCTTGTTATCATTGATACAATATTATGTCAGCCTCCGTCGCGGTTCATCTTCACATCGTCATCCTAATACGGTATGAAAACTTGGGCCAAAACATACCTGTTCCAAGCCCTGTATTGATGTCTGTCTGTCTGGAATGAAAGTTAACTGATAAGAGGGATCATACTTGAAATTCGACTATTTTTTTCAACTACTGCTTACCTTAGCATATTTTGATGAAGAGGTTTAGCTTGAAGCAGTTGGACTGAAGTACCAAAAAAGGACATAATCCCATTTTCAAAAGTGGTACTTCGACCACTTCGGTTAGTTTAAGTCATCAGCTTAATGGTATAATAGAACATAACTGGCCATAAGCTCGTTTACACTTCTAAACCAGATGTATCGGGTTTCTATTTGGTTTCCCAGATGACTACATCAAACGAACCAAGGTCACAAAGATATGTGGTGATGAGTTTATTTTTGTAGATAAATTATAGCAGGAAAATGTAATTCACGCCTCATAAACCTAACTGAAACTTTTGAACAATTATCAAATTTTTTTAGGACAATAATGACGTACTTGGAGGGATTACCAATCCTAATCCTTACAACGGTACCATGAGGCTTGAAAACATCATGAATAAAGGATTCAGTGATATTATGATATCCAACATATAAGGTAGAGTGCGCTGATCGGTTCGGAGAATGTAACTGATCGACACTGCATGAATCTGAAACATCCGATATCTTTAAATAAGAAAAATGAGATAACTACTTGATCCGTATCCAAATTTTTGTCATCCAGTAGGAGGTTGAACTGCTGTTTTCTTTTAGTTTGTAAGGTCTCAGAAGCATCCGTACAGTTACCTTCACAAGTAGCCGCTTTATAGTTAGATAAGACGTCTACTCTTTTTTCCTCAGGTCCCAACGCGTTTAGTATTGGACCAGGTAGAAAATTGCGGTAGAGTGTCTGTTTCACTTTTGAGTTCACCTAATATTGCACATTAAGTACAAATTTATTATACTTACGTTAGGTCCGGGGACCTCATCTTCTTCACTTTCCTGTATGTAACAACAATCCATATTATAGAATCACCCACCTTAGGTTTACGTTTAAATGTGTGACGCTCATTTTTGTTCTCAATTGATATTGCTCCTGATTTAAGAAGCTTCATAGCTTCTTCTTTAGCTTTTTCTCTTGGTTTCATAGCTTCATTTTCCTATAACTAGAAAAATAAAACTAACCTTTCGATTTTTCTTCTTTACGTTCACACTTCTTAACTTCATGGTCAATATCAGTAAGGGTTCTTCTCTAAATAGGCAGGTAAAACTATGTATGCTCTACCATTTGCTTAAGTGATAATAACTCTTTGCGTAGAAACTTCTCAGGGTCGGTGTGTTCATCCGGTAAGTCAATCGCAACTATAGTCAGTTAATTTATCAAAGAATAAATCGTACATGACGCCAGTAGTTCGTCAACATCAATATTTCTAAAAGCTCGGTATAAAGCACAGTAGCAACTTACTTCCCAGCCTCAAGGTCTGGGTCTTCTATTGTCATGATGAATCACTAGTAGGTTGGGATATCAAGTGAATACTGTAAAGAAAAGTTCCAGATCAACAATTATATATATAAATTATACTTAAAGTAAAAACGAGGAGGATATGGTATAATCTAGGAAGGTATAGGTAGATATCGAAAACAATGTTGTACCTTAAAACACTTGCTTGTCTACCAATCTAAATTGAAAATAGAACATCAAGCATTTAAACTGTATTCGCCGAGCAAGGGAATAGCAACTATGGGAATAATAAGTTGGTTGTACTAACACCTGGTTGACTATAGGTGTAACCTATATCTATTATTTAAACTTTAGGTGCATTAACCAATCGCTTTTCGTCATCATCTGTCAACGAAAAAGACCTTACGAAACTGTAAGATATCGCAACACAAGGTTATTTTCACGACGTCAGAGACAAATTAATAAAGCTTAATCGAAGGAAACAAGAACAAGTTTGTAATAAGTGATAACTTCCCTACTGCTCTATAGGTACAGTCGACAGTGTTAGCGAACATAACCGTAAGTGAAGCCTCAAGTAGCTAACTGTGTCGAAACATGTCATTCAGATATCGTTGTAACTTCTTTTGTTCTTCACACTTCAGAATTCACAAGATTATTTTGATTCTAAATAGCCGAGCAGGCGTGGCTAAAAGAGGTAATCCGTGGGATGCTTCTTATGTTCAACCTATTTTTCAATAAACATTTTTTCTGAAAATGAGCTTAATTTCTTATTTACATGGAAACCTTATCCAAGTGTTGAGGCAGTTTGTTTGATTTTCAGTGAACTTGCAATTAAGTACACATGCCTTATTAATAATACATCACCTGTTTTTTCTTTTGTAGATCTTTTCAAATAACAATGAATTGGCAATTACAGTGAAAGAGCATAAAGATTGATGCTTAGGTTTCTGCCATAATGTTGTATAAAAACACGCTTTTTCTTTTCAATAAATTTATTTAAACATATACCATTTTGTACGTGGATTGCAGTTTCAGTGTGGTGTGTTGTGGGAATAAGGGAGAAAATAGGAGACCTTTGGGCTTATGTCAATGTTTTAAAAGCTGGATCAATGGTAGACAATTCAGCGTATATTTTGGCGAAAAGTAGACGATTCAGAGTATATTTACGCGAAAAGTAGACAATTCAGTGTGTATTTAGGCGAAAAGTAGACAATTCAGAGACATTTGGGAGAGAGACAAAAAGGAGGAAATCCGCAGTCGTTTTGGCGCGTTACCCCTTTATTACCCAACGCACTTTCCCCTTTCTTGGTTGTTTGGGTAGGGAATCGATAATTAACGTTAATCAAATTCAGCCGTATCAATAACAACTTCTAGCATCGAAGTAAAAAAGAGACTCAAGAAATGGGAATAAAGTGACTCCGAAACTAAATGTTGCATAGGAAAATGAAGACATGTAGGGACAAACTTGTGACCTCTATAGCTATTCATGGTAAGACGACCTTTGAGCGACGCTTAACTGACCTTGGGGGTGCGGATTATAAACCGGTGTGAAGGATAGATTATGATTTACGATTGAGGAATTAGGTATTGAATATTTCAATTCATGACGACGTTCTGAAAAACTTTAGGCGAGCGTTATATGTACTCAAAGTTATAAAAACTGCTAATTTATACTTCTTCCCGCGCTATTTAAAAAAGGAAGTGTTATTTCCCCTGTGGTTATATTTTATAGTATTGATCGTTTAATTACGCATCAAGACCATTGTTTTTGCTTTAATTGGATTTATTTCAGTTAAATCAATCTCCAAAAGCATCTTTTTTTCTAGAGGAGCTTATCATCTGTACTTTTGAGTACAAGTACAAGAAAAGGTACTGATTTTCTTATTTTTGCTCATTCAGTATATTTTTTGAATTGTTTATATTCATAGGTGTTAAGGTTATTTTGGATCCACTGAAGTCGAATTTCTTTATTGGTAAGTACTGTAATATACAACTTTATTTGTGTCTAGTGTCTATCACTTCTCAAACCTTAAAAGACACTTATTCTAGGGATCAGTTTTCGTTGTTGTTCTTCCTGTGAGATCACAAAACAATTTTATGGCGTAAGTAAATCATCGTAGTGATAGACCCGCATGCTATTCCTCGGTCGATGATGGAATGCAATGTGACAACTGCAATAAGTGTTATCGCAATGTGTGCAACAAACTCACCGACCGCATATGAAAGTAGCTTCAAGCCGTTATCCCCTTAACTGTGCAAAGCATGCATCAAATCACTTCAGGCAGCTATACAATCAGGTTACTCAACCATATGCACCCTGAACGATCCCAAAGAGGATGAAGCACGGCCACCTGTGGATGTTCCGGGATATTCGACATTTACTAAGACAAAGAAGATTTGTTGGAACGTTAGCATCAGCCTAGGCACAGCATGTGCTGTGGAACGCTACAGGTCAGCAAGAAATAAATGTACCATTAAAATCACGAAATCTGAGCTCTGTTTTCTGTCCCTAGTGCCCTTTGTGTCTAAACATTTGAAGAGTACGACTCTTCATGATTGGACGTTGCTTGTGAGTCTTGGGGACCGTTGGCAGGATGAATTTTTTGGCACATAAGATCACGTGCAGAAAGAAATCTCAGTAAGTGTTTGCATCACTTCGAGGGCGAACTTCCCACTCCACCTCTCGTAGGTTGTCCCGTAAAGCTGACGCATCTGGTTGTTTGAAATTCTAGCACGTATTATTGGTAGGATATCTTGGCTCAGTTGTTCTTGTAGAACTAAAGACAATGACAGCGCGATTACCTTTTTTACGGAGCGAGGATTGAGAGATTGTCAGTTAGGAACACTTCGCTTGTAAATCGCAGTCTAAGCGTAACGGCGTCTGACTGTTTCTCCGCCGAGTTGATAACTTCGCATTTTCAAATAATCCCAAATCTACATTGAGGTTTGAGAACCGAGCTTCAGCAGAATTGTCACCTCCAATGTACTTGCGTTCAAAAGAATCTATTTCAAAGATATCGAAGTTTCTCAGAACCAGGATATAAGTGTATATGAAGACGAATAGATTCCTCTAGCATACGATTATCGTACTTGGTGTCAGCAGTAGGCTTCCCATAGATGACTCCGACTAGGCACCTCAAGGCGTTGAACAATTTTACCGGGCACTATACAAACCCATCGAGATTGATCAACTCTTGAGTGCTGATCAAAGACATCCCGAGTATTTCCAGCCCCATCTGTCCAACTGCAGAAGATGCTCATCTTTCAGATATTCCTATCAGATGAGTATTATTAGCATAACTTAGCTCACGCAACTCATTAATTTTGTCCAGTAAACTCGCAGCGTTTGTATATAGGCTGTCCATACTTTCCATTTGAACGAGCGAGCATCCTCGTCCTGTTTGTCTGAATGGGCCTTATGTGAATGTTCCTGAGCTTGTGAACCACTCTCTAGACTGTCGTAGTCTCCGTAATCAGGGTCCGTGTTTTCTGTGACACTGGATAATGATGTTTTCTACGCGAAAGAACGTCTCGCGAGATTGCTTTTGGGTAATTATGATGAGGCTGCGCTCAGAACATGGTATATCCGGCAGTATTCCTACATTCCATCCCGAATTCAGCAAGTGGATGGTCAGTGGAACATCCCCTACGTCGACTGCGTTAGTGAACGTTACATGAACGAGTTTCAGATGATTTTGGTGTTTGGTATCCCTCTCATGGGTAAGCCGTATAACTGACAGCAGCTCAAATATTAGCTTCCTGTTTAACTAATCCAAAGAATCCTGATGTTTCTGTCTTGCGGACAGAGAATGAGACCAGAGCCGTCTTTGTATCTATGATTATGTGAGAAATATTAATACATAAATCTGGACCTGAATTTTACTCCATCGATTTTCGGGTGGTTCTGGAATATCCGCTTCGGATTTTTGATATGGTCTCCGTTCTTGAATCTCGTATACCAAGTCATATCTTTGGCTACACCATATAAACTTGAAACATTAAAATGTACTTTTGAGACTAATAAAATTTTACTGAGCACTAGAGCAACCCAAGACTAAGCAGTTTCTATGTTACTCGACAGACCACATACCATCGAGATGTTTACCAAATGTTATTAATTACAGGGGTGACTAACTACGATAAATCGTTTAGATGCTATCAACTGATTAATGTAGCAGATGGTCTGCTTCGTATTCCTCCGTCTTTTTATATGATATCCTTATTTAATGGGATTAAATCTGACTTGTACATCTACCTACTTCTTCATGGCCCATATACGAAAGGAAAGGTGATTCAATGTGAGCAGTAAGAAGACTAAGATCATAATGTCAGATAAAATTTTAAATTAACCATTTTTGCAGGTCGTTTACCACATATCTTTTGTTACCCTGTGGTAATGAAATAAAAGTTCGTTTTCCGAACGAAGCATATAAAATATGAGATTATCATACAATCTTTGTGTGTTTATGGGCGTTTAATAACCTTTATCTCTGGTACCTTTCCATGAAAATTTATATTACCAAATACACCAGTAAATTCCATAGTTCTAGGAAATTCAGTAAATCGGTGCTGCTGATCTTTTAAGCGACTTCTGCTGTTTTAATTATCACGGGGCTAAATGGCCAGTCAGAACACCGACTTATATGACATCAACTCTGTACCAAATAGTGACTTATCAACCAGTACGAAAAGCCTGGTGTCGGCTCTGTGTCTTTATTCGTTCTTTGTGTCTTGCTTCTCCCGCTGGGCCCAGAACACGACTTCGGCTTTCACTATATGAATCGTGTATTTCAGATATACTCAGTTCATACACAAGCAAGTTAGATCACATCATAATATAGAAAATATCGATTGTATAGGACCAAGTCATAAGTGACCGTGAGTATGAGAAGTTGTAACTGATAGATTAAGAATAACTTGAAGATAGTAAATCGTATAACAGTAACCTATAGGTCAAATAAAAAGAATACGAATATATATGTTCAAGTTATGCAATAATTATCCAATAAGAATATATGTGATAACAGTCCATGATTAGTTCCTGGAAGTTGCCATTTATTCATTCTTCGTTAGTATACAGCAATAGTCTTGTGAAATATGCAAAAATGTATAGAAGACTTACTACAGAAGAAGGTGCAAGTGAAGGTCAAACTATTTACCTTGATAGGTACATATACGAGCTAATTTGGGAAAAGTTTCTGTCGGTTAAGAAGCACTGTTACACTTAGAGAAAAAGCGATCAGCAAAGTTGATCGGAGATAACTTGTCGTCGGCCAGTGCCTCATGAGGTATAGCAAGCTTCAGAAAGTAAATAAGCAAGTGCGCTAGTAATACAGTAGACAAAAGGAATAGCCTTAGGCTGTTTGACGGACGCATAACTCTTAAATCTGCTGTACGAGCAAATCCATTTTTGATAAGCTATAACGTCTCAGGAGCTGGTTATCGTGCTTTCGAGAGTGCAGTTGGTCTTATAGTCATCATGTGATGTTTGATACTTCCTGGTTCACACGGCGGTTTCAATTTGGAAAGGAAAACGGACTGTGTGGCCTATGACTGTCCTGAAAATAGTGGTCCAAGTCGATACACTTCTTCTAAAGAATCCACAGATACAGACTCAGTCATTTGTCGAAGTAATGGATTCCACTCGCCGATAATTCGAGGGGAAAGTCGGTAGTCAGCTGACAAGTTTTGAACTTGTGAACATTTTGTGTCCTTCTAAACTATCATTTTTGGAAGACAAGAAAGAGAGCATATCACGTGCAAAACTATCATCAGGTAATTTAAAAACTGTGATCAAATTACTTACGGTTCTTTCATATTATCTGGGTGATAGGTTTAATTTGGCCAGTCTTTTGTCATACGAGACATTTGCATTTCCGGGAATCAGCTGTTTAAACCTCTCACTGTCTCTTCTTAGCCAGTGCTCGAATTTGTAACAAACGACCACTATATACACGACTAAAGGCTCTACGTACAGACCATAAAATTGTAAAACTTTTAACAGCTATCGCACGGTGGTGTGAAGTAGTTTTTAAGTCTTGATAAGCAGTGATTCCTAGGTCATTGTCTGTTTGGATAACAGTTAGTTATTCACTGTGTATGTATCTGTACCTTGGTGACTAGTACTCATCATAATACACTTGAAAGCATGTACAGGCAAACACAAAATTCCAGACTACTCAGATGGTTTCCTCAGGTCATTTCGATGCTCGGCCCTTGATTCACGAGCTTATCAACTATCACTTCCATACTATCGGGTTGTGGAAAAACTTTCCCTAACAGTTAGTTACCCATTTTTTCAAATTGAAACCTCCTCGAGCTGTCAGTTCGTTAAGATGTACCACAAACCTTTTCGCATCTTCATTATTGGGAAAAAATCTTAGGCAATCATCCACATAGAAGTTGTTCAGTACCGAATTTTTAGCCGTCTTTACCAACGCGAAATTTGCACGGAACAGCGAGGATATTACCCCGGAGGAGTGTAATGTCATCTGATACTCCACCGGTTCATTTTCGATATCACCCTCTGGCCACCAAAAAATGTAGCGTTGGACAATCTGGCTTCGAGACCTGTACTTGCATGAACATTTCTTTTCATCCTCAGAATCGACAACCGGTTCCCTGCGGACACATAACAAGATACCAGCTATATATGCTGTAGTATCTGAACTTTTGTAGAGAAG